CTGGTTGACCCAACCGGGCCCTGCTAACAATGAAACGGCAACATGTAAAATCCAAGAAATGTCCAGGCCTTTTAGAGATGAAACTCCCAATGGAGACAAGCTTAGGAAAAGCCATAAATGGAGAACTCATACTTTATACTAAGGAAATAAAGATCAAACAGACAAGAAAGAGATTTTTAAAATATGTTTAAAATATTCATAGAGATCAAGGAAGCAAGAGAATCCATGAAGAACAAAGATCATTTTATGAGGAAAAAAAAAAAAAACCACAGATGTATTTGAAAAGGAACCAAATGGAGATTCTGGAAATAAAAATGGTCAATGAAATTTTAAAAACTTTAATAGATAAGTTAAAGAGCAGGCCTACTAAGAGACCAAACCAAATCAGTTGAGAACTGAAAATGTCTGCTCTATTACTCCAGCAAAAAAGATGACTGCTTGAATAGGGTAGTGGCAGTGAGAGTAGAAATAAGTGGAGAAATTTAAGAAGAACTTTGAAAGTAGAATCAACAAGATTTGGTAATGAAGACTCCAGCCTCCCAATATATTCCTTCCTGACTTAGAAGAGAAGCATTGTGGCTGTGGTTTGAGCTGATGTGGTAGCTTCTTCTTAATGCCTGGCCTGTGGTAAGCACTCACCGGTGCTGTTGTTCATTGTGGTGTTATTTTCGTTTTATGATTATCACCATTAAAGTTGATAGGAACAGCTGAAAGGTAAAGAAGGAGGTGTTGAACCTCCTACTAAGGAACATGTTATTGCTTTCCCACTGTCCAAATATTTTATAGGAAAGCTTGGTATTAGAGCTGCTCTGCTTCAATCACATTGCAAAAAAAAAAAAAAAAAAAAAAAGAGTGGAACAGGAAATAAACCAGGTAGCTCAAAAACATATATCATTGTATGTAACCATGCACAACATGATTAAGAAAGCAACCCAAATCAGCACTGGAAAGACGGAATTATTAAGTCAGTGACACTGGCACAGCAGTGACAAAGAGCAATGACACACTATTATCACTTCACCATGCTGACACAATTTTAAAATTTAAAAAGCACATGGGAAAAAAATTGTAACAAAATGAAAAAAGATGCAGTTTCAAAGATTTCTTTTAAAAATATGCAGAGAGGCACCCGGGTGGCTCTGTCAGTTAGGTGTTTGACTCTTGATTTTGGCTCATGTCAAGACCCCACAGTGGTGGGATCAAGCCCCAAGAGGGGCTCCACACTGAGTATGGAGTCTGCTTGGGATTCTCTCTCTTTCCCTCTGCCCCTCTTGTCTGGCGCTTACTCTTTCCCTCTCTTCGTCTCTAAAATACATTTTTTTAATTAAAAAATTTTAAATATGCAGATGTGGGTTTTCTGGAAAAATTTCTCATCAAAGTAAGAAATAACTTTTATGGGAATACGCAATCCTCAACAATGTGCAGTAAAAATAAGCACACTCTTACATTGCTGGAGGAATAATAATACATATAGCTTTAAAACCCTGTCAGCATGTTTTAAGAGGCCTAAGAACATTTATGCTTTTTAGTGTAATAATTAAAATCCCAAGAATTTACTCTAAGAAAACTGTAGAAATAGAGAAATACATGCATTGCAATGTTGTTTATAATAGCAAAAACACTGGACACAATCTAAGTAGTCAATCAAAAAGGAGGGGTTGTAATACATGGCATGGTTATTTTAGATTATTACATGGCCATAAAAATCTAGTAATAAGCAGTTTTTAATAACTAACGTGCTGATTATTCTCCATTTGCTCCCCATTCTGCCAGATCCATTCTCTCCCATTCTCTTCCTTGATCTGTCCTCTGAGAAAATGACTAGTACAAACTCCATCATATAGATTCTTTGTCACTTCCGTTTCCACGGAGCTCCAGAAAAACATAATGTCTTTCCTTCACCCTTGGAACCCAATAGCTTCCTGTTGCTGCTAGCCTCTGATGCCCACCATCCCTTGTCCTTAATCCTAACCACACTTCTCTATAGAGCCGCTTCATGAAAGTCTCTTCGTTAAAACCTGAGTAAGTTTCCTATCCAGAGATGAGATATATGTGAACTCTTACATCATAAAACTGCATAGTCTGTATGATCTAATGTGAAAATACATAGAAACACTTGTAAAGAAACACACAAACGTGGAGACAAGCTTCTTCTGAGAAGTATGAATAAGACACATTTCTTTCATTTGTTTTCTACTCCCCAATTTTTTTACAATAAATAATGTATAATTTATTAAATGCAATTATTATTAAATTACATATAATTCATTTATGATAGAGTAACAACTCTAAAAATTAGATGAACATATTTTATTTTATTTTTTTTATAATTTTTTTTTCAACGTTTATTTATTTTTGGGACAGAGAGAGACAGAGCATGAACGGGGGAGGGGCAGAGAGAGAGGGAGACACAGAATCGGAAACAGGCTCCAGGCTCTGAGCCATCAGCCCAGAGCCCGACGCAGGGCTCGAACTCACGGACCGCGAGATCGTGACCTGGCTGAAGTCGGACGCTTAACCGACTGCGCCACCCAGGCGCCCCTAGATGAACATATTTTAAATATACCTCTTCTTTTTAAAAGTGAATGAAGTTGGCTTTTTTTGACCTTCAATAGATTTTCAAGAGGTCACTGTTCTTTTATAGAAGGATTCCAAGTCCTGTTGTCCATATCAAAATAAACATTTTTGCCAGAAATTGTTCATACTTTTCACTTTTGACTGAGGCCTTTTTATTCTTACAAGGGTAAGGTGTGGCATCTAATTTTGTCTCTGCTTCTTTGGGGAGAGGAACTTTAGTATATTGCTACTAAAGACATTTTCATCACATCTAACCCGGCAAGCTTCCTGTATTCTTCACTTTCTTGGTGTTTAGAGAGCTCAATTAATGTACTTCTGCTAACTTTGTTGTTGCTGTTGCTGTTGTTACTCACTTCCTTGCTAGGAAGATGGGGTGAAGTTTCTGACTGGAAGCATAAGAAGAATAACTAGATATCCTCTATCCTCCTGTGTCTCTCAAAGCCAGTCCCCTGCAGAGACCATGCATCTCCCTTCACTCATTCATGCTGGAAGTGGTACAGCAGTCAGCTCCGGTGAGTGTGGTGAAATGAGATCTACCCCAAGTCCAGTGCTTTCTGTAAATGCATGAGGTTGCCCAAATCCTTGGATCCTGGTGGCAGGCCCATTTGGCTAATGGACCTAGAGCCACAATCTGCACCCTGACCTCTAGCAGTGACAAAGGCGATATCTTGCCTGACATATATACTCATTTGTTTCATTCCTCCAATCATTTAGTAATTATGTGGGAAAGAGAGATGTTATTTGTTGGTGGCCTCCTCAGAAACTGCAAGACATACTTTTGTTTTACAATTATAAGTATATACATACCACTTTGACTTGACAATAAAGCCTTCTGGTTGGTTTGAGTTTTGCTATATGTTGTTGTAACTTGGATGCCAAAGGGCTTCACACCATTCTTAATTTTTTTTTTAATATTTATTTCTGAGGGAGAGAGAGAGAGAGAGCAAGTAGGGGAGGGGCAGAGAGAGAGGGAGACACAGAATCCAAAGCCAGGCCCCAGGCTCTGAGCTGTCAGCACAGAGCCCAACTCAGGCTCGAGCCCAACTCAGGCTCGAACCCACAAACTGTGAGAATATGACCTGAGCTAAAGGCGGACGCTTAACTGACTGCGCCACACAGGGGCCCCGGGCCTCACACCATTCTTAAAAAGTCCATTCTTAAACAGTCCATTCTTAAATGAGTAAACAGTAATTTCTTAGAGAATCCAGAAGGTCAAACAGCAGAAACTAAAAATAAAAATAAAAACTAGAGTTTAGATCCTTTGGGGAGCTGGTAACTCCCATACATCAAGAGTAGGAATGCAGGGGCACCTGGGTGGCTCAGTCGGTTAAGTGTCTGACTTCGGCTCAGGTCATGATCTCACAGTTCGTGGGTTTAAGCCCTGCATCTGGCTCTGTGCTGACAGCTCAGAGCCTGGAGCCTGTTTCGGATTCTGTGTCTCCCTCTCGCTCTGCCCCTCCCCTGTTCACGCTCTGTCGCTGTCTCAAGAATAAATAAACATTAAAAAAAATTTTTTTTTCTTAAAAAATTTTTTTTAACATTTATTTATTTTTGGGACAGAGAGACACAGAGCATGAACGGGGGAGGGGCAGAGCGAGAGGGAGACACAGAATCGGAAGCAGGCTCCAATCCATCAGCCCAGGGCCCGACGCGGGGCTCGAACTCACGAACCGCGACATCGTGACCTGAGCTGAAGTCAGATGCTTAACCGACTGAGCCACCCAGGGGCCCCCCCCCAAAAAAAAAAAAAAAAAAAAAAAAAAAAGAGTAGGAATGCAGTTACTCAGCTGTATGCAGATGTTCCCTTTCCTCTTATCCTTTTAGCCCTGGAATCCCAAAAATGTTGGTAAAATAAGTATTCTATATTATTCTTTTTAAAACTTTATTTTCTGACACAACTCAATAATACAACACATAGGAGTTAGGTAATCAGGCCACCCTAAAAAAACAACAGATATTTCTTCTATAATCAAGATAGCAAATCAGAGGCATTATTGCCTTTTTAGTTCCCCATATCTTAAGCATTAGTCATTCAAATAATGTCAAAATCTTTTATAAGTATTTCTATTAATTCCACTTGAATAGATGTTCATTTAATGAGCCACGGTGCACCCTTATTTTCGTCTTAAATAAAATAATTTTAATGAAATAATTTTGTGTCAATTTAGATTTTATTGTTGCTATTATTAATACTATGTTTTAATGTTATATTCATTATGTGATCTGTTAATAAAAATCTGCTAAAGGCAATCCATTTGTTTCAGAGTTCATGAAAAACTGGTATATTCTGGTCACAATTTGGCAGCAAGAGATCATTTAGCAAGGACATACTTTACACCATATGACGAAGCATGATCATTCTGCTTGAGTGGAATGGATGAAAGATTGTTCATTAATCCTACAAAAATGTATTAAGTACTTACCATGTGTCAAGTACTGTGCTCCTTACTGGGGACACATTGTCTCTGCTTTAATGGACCCTAAGGGAAAAATTATACAAATGATGTACATTAATAGATGATCACACAAATAATTACATAATGATAGATTATGAAGCATACAATAAATAAAAATTTATATTGTGACCAGGATTGTCAGGAAAATGTAAGGAAATTTGATAGATAGGTTAAATAAACTCTTTGCCCTACAGTTAATAAAAGTTTTTAGCCTCTAAAATGTACTTCTTGGGGCACCTGGGTGGCGCAGTCGGTTAAGCGTCCGACTTCAGCCAGGTCACGATCTCGCAGTCCGTGAGTTCGAGCCCCGCGTCAGGCTCTGGGCTGATGGCTCAGAGCCTGGAGCCTGTTTTCGATTCTGTGTCTCCCTCTCTCTCTGCCCCTCCCCCGTTCATGCTCTGTCTCTCTCTGTCCCAAAAATAAATAAACGTTGAAAAAAATAAAAATAAAAAAAATAAAACAATAAAAAAAATAATAAAATGTACTTCTTGCCTCTAAATTGAATCAATATAGGAACTTGGAATTTTTATAATCAACTCTTTAAAATTCTTTAAAATTCATCCAAAGACAATTATATGAGAAAAACAGTTTTGTCAATGTTATAGACATTATGATCCAGATATCAGGACACCAGACCTGCATAGATGACCCTTCCTAAACTCCAATGGGAGCCTTAGGAAAGTAACTTTGCCTCTGTGGACCCCAGTTGCTTGTCTTGCAAAATGAAGTATTGGCCAGGTTATCCTGAGAACCAAACCAATCTAAATTCTCTGATCTATAATTTAAGAGAAATATTCTCTATGACTACGGAATAAGTTTGTGCCGGTCATATAGAAATTACCTGTCATAAATAAGCTATAAGAATTTGATGTTAAGTGAAAACACAGAATTGGATCCCTTTAGTACTTTATTAATATATTACTGTGTAGACATACTACATAAGGTAAAAATAACAATTGCTTCCTGTTGTGAATATAGCATCTGATTTTCCCAGTATATAGTTTCCCACAGGTGCATCTGTTCTCTAATGGAAGTTGGGGTGACACATACTGAATAATGACCAGCTCAATTATATTGATTTATATATAAATAGTAGCCACCCCAGATTTTTCTCTTCCCCCAGAATAATGTAATAACCTGCTATACATACTTGTGGAAACACTCCATTTCCTCAAAATACAAAGAACATTTGTAACTACCTATTTAATGTCTTTCTTCTCCACTAGACACGGTATCTTATTCACTGCTGCATTAACTTTTGACGCATTAACAACCAACCAAACCTAGAGTCTTAAAACAACAAATCTATTTCTTCTTCACCCTTTTGTGTTGACTACAGCTTGACCCAACTGGACCCAGCTGGGCTTAGCTAAGCATAACTGTAGGCTGCGTAAATTTGTATCTGCTCCACATATTGCTCATTCTGGAACCAAGGCTGAAGAAACACTGACATCATGCAGTATAGTTAATGGAAAATGACAATAACACAAGAAGAGAGGTGCCTGGGTGGCTCAGTTGGTTAAGCGTCTGACTGAAGCTCAGGTCATGATCTACTGTCCTGTGAGTTCAAGCCCCCTGTCAGGCTGTATGCTAACAGTTCAGAGCCTGGAGCCTGCTTGGGACTCCATGTCTCCCTCTCTCTCTCTGACCCTCCCCTGCTCATGCTCTCTCTCAAAATTAATTAATTAATTAAATATTAAAAATGTTTTAAAAAGCAATAAAGCAAGAGGAAATAAATGGATGGCGGATTCCTAAGCCTTATTTAAGAATGGTCACACAGTTGCTCCCGCCCTCATTTCACTGGTCAAAGCAATCACAGGGACAAGTGCAAAATCAATAGAATGGTGAAGTATACTCTCCTCCATGACAGGGAAAGGAAGATGAATTAGTGAACAGTAATGAAGTCTGCAACAGCTGCCCTACACTTACCACTTAATATAGTCCATGGCACATAGTGGATGTTTAACCTTTTTGAGGAATTCATAAAATTGTATAATATGTCATCCATCTTCCCAAATAAGTCCATATTCTCTTGTCTTTCTCTGTAATACAAACGTATTTTCCCTCCATGTGAGAAACTTTAATACTTTAATTTTTCCCAGATTCAGTATGGCCCAGGAAACAGTTTGTCATCATATCCCTAGTTCCAAGTTCACTGGCTTTCATATAGTCAATGTTCAACAAGTATTTTTTTTAGATGAACAAACAAACAAAAAATAATAATAATAATAATAATAATAATAATAATAAAGGAATGAATGAGTCCGTAAGCCAAATGCTAGATGTGGGGGGTTTTTTGTTGTTTTTGAGGAGATTTTTTTGTTGTTCATTTACACATAATAAAGCTAAATCTGACTTCTAGTAAGTGTTAAATCCTAAGGTGTTCTAGCATTACTTTCCATATAAATTAAGAGAGTACTCCTTTTTGTGAACTCTATTTAAGTGTTATGGTATGCTACTTAGAATTACTTTTGAAAGTTAAATATACTCCTACTGAGATTATATGGGCACATGGAAATGGTCTTAAAGACCAATGAATTTCAACCCTCATACTTTAAGGATGATTATCGTTATCTTTAATTTATTATTCACTATCTCATGAAGGTATTTTGTTTGGATGTATTTGTCATTACTTTTCATTAAAAATGCTTTTCATGTATCTATTATTCCCAAACCTCTGATATACATGATATATAAGAAACAGTTTCTTTTATTCAGGTTTTTCTATCTGCTTGAGTAGATATGCTATGTTTCAAGACAGCTACAGTAATATTTGTGAGTACCAAATAAGTAAAAGATACCCACAGGAATTTAGATAAAAGAGATAAGGTCCTACAAGAATTATTAAGAAAATCTCATGGAAGAAATACAATTTAATTGAACCTAAGAAAATGAGTAGGATCTCCATAAGTGAATTAGAGAGGGAGGATATTTTCAGGAGAAAGAATATAATAAATAAAAAAGCAAAAGGTATAATTCAGCAACATCAAGAAAGTCAGAGTTAAAGCTGTGTAGGGAGATAACTAAAGATAAGGCTGGAAAAATAAGTAGAGAACAGATTGTGAATGAAGACATAAAATGGTGAACTAAGGATTATCAATTTCATTTTGTAAGCATTGTAGAGCCAATGAAATTTTTTCACGAGGGAATGTACCACAATGAGTGTATTTTTAGGATTATTAATTTGGCAATAATATAGACAATGGATTCGGTGAAGAGTATCACAGAGGCAATTTAGGAGAATGTTTCCATCACTGAGGTATGAAGTAATCACACATAAATGAAGGTGGATGGCTGTAATGTAAGAAAGGACTACGGAGTGAGTACAAAGTCAGATGTACTGGGACTGAAACAAAGAGCTGTATGGCATAGTTTCATTGATGGCCTTGGAATTCAGATCAGAGAACACTGGGGCCAAAGTACTGAAAGAACATCAAGTTGGGCTTAGATCTAGAATCTGAAAATGGAAACAAGGTCAAGAGCAAGGGTTAGTTACTTCTGAGATAAGCATAATTCCTAAAATATGAACAAATCCAAGAGACATACCTTAGGGGCAGACTATGAGTATTATTAGCCAAAGTCCAAACTGAATAGGGCAACTGGATTGTGGATTTCAGACAAGAGAGGCTATACATTCATTAAAAAAAAAAAAAAAACAGTTAATATTGGACAGAATTTATCAAGTGAATAAACTAATATTGACTCTTCTAGCCCAAACCTAAATTTTCCCCCCACTGGAGAGTATGAAAAATTCAAAATAGTGTTTGTAGAAGCAATGGAATGGTTAACATTTGATGTTGCCATGCAGCACAGCCTGAATATAGACAGTCCATGCACCTGAGCACTAGGATTCAAAGCAGAAGGGACAAGATGATGGTAATTCATTTCAGGGAGATGAAATTTACATGGTTCATGTTGAAACTTAACTTATGAATTCTTATCAAGTAAAGAATAATTTATATGGTCTTTGACAGCCAGCCATGTATTCTTAATCAAAGAAAGGCGTGTTCCATATTGTTAATGTTATTCAGATTATGCAATCTTGAATTTTCCCATTATTACACTAGCAATTTTTTCTGTAGTAAGATTTCTAACATGAAGTAACAAACATGCCAATAAGCCTATATACACAGAGAAACAGAGGGAAGAGTGTTGGAGTGGTATAGCAGAAAGGGCGGGGGGGGGGGGGAGCAGAGAAATAGAAAAAAAAAGAAGAGGAGGGGTTGGGGGAGGAAGAAGAGGGAGAAAAAGAGGAGAAGGAGAAGAGGAAGAGGAAGATGAAGGAGAAAAAGAGAGATGGGGAGAAAGAACTTTTGTATTAGGTTAAGCTGAAATCATTAATCAAGATATAATAAAAGCACAATTTACAAAGACAATATATCTAAGATATAGTTCCTTCCCAAAATATTTTTAAAAATATTTTCATTGCTTATGGATTATGATTTCACCACGTAATATTATCAAGTGATGAACTTTTTCATCTACAAGTTTGTTCATTTGTTGTATGATTCATAGCCCCAATACACAGAAGCCTGACTGCTATGTCACTGAGGGGAGACTTGAGATGCAGCCCTGTGCCTTTGTTCCTTGAAAACTTGTCAGCAGATACCGAAAAAAATCATATATGTTCTACTGGCCTCTAGGTACCAGGATACCAAAAGTAAGATTTCTTCTTGTTTGTAAACTAAAAGTTTTTCAGTGTAGAATATGTAATGACACAAGAGTTCAGTGGCAAGAGAAACCATTTATTATTAATGATCGCAGAACTACCAAAACAATAAAATATAACAAAGGCAGTAGGTTTCAAATATGTGGCCATCTACCAGATGTTTAATATAGATGAAAGCAACATTGTATATCTGTGGTCACCGTCAAGAACACATTTCTCTGAAATAAAACTTTCATTCGCCTCTCATCCTCTACACATACCCAACCTCCAAAACACTTTTTACTTATAATCATTTCTACTATTTGGAGTCCTTCTGTCAAGTTTCTAATTCTATAAATCTCTTCCACCTTGATCTCTCTTTTGGTTTTGCTTTTTCCAAATGTGGGTAAGAGAAGTTGTGTGTAAGAAAGAAAATTACAAAATGCACCAATTTCAAGATTGAATTGTTGCTTTCTTGCCTCTCCACTCCAACCTTAAAGCTCACCAGCAGCATTAATGCTCCACGAATAGGAGACAACAGCAAAAACGTAGCGAATATGAATTGTAATTCAAGGGAGAAAAATCTAATGAACTCTGCCCAATTGAAACTGTCATCTCCTAAAACAGTCATGAGAGTCGGAATCTCCTGTGGAATTTCGTAAAAATAAATATTCTTTGGGAACTACTCCCACAGAGATTCTGATTCAGTATGTCTGGTGAAAGGCCAGAAATGTACATTTTTAACATGCTCTCCAGGTGAAACAGATGGATGACCCTACACATTGCAATAATTATTCTAGAAATTGCAGGAATAAATACTTCTCATTCCTCATTTGACTAACAAAGAATAATTGATAGTGGAATTGATAGTGATGGAGACACAGGGAACAAAGGTCCAGGTAATTATAAAATTTACAGTACCTGAGAGGACAACACAAAGCCAAAATTAGAACTTGTCCTTTGACTTTAGGATTTCAGATTTCCTGAAAAGTAAGAGAAAGATAGATTGGATCGTGGGAGCTAAAAAACCACACTCCTGTCAGGTTGCTGCCATATATACTAAAATACAATTGATCCCATTCATTCCCATTTTGAGCCCACAACTGCATACTTTTCCAGTTCTTTCACTATTTTTACCATGTACTAATTTACCATCTCTTTCAAACCCAATTCCTTGGTCACCCTTACCTCTAGGTCCATAAGTTTCACTGTCTTCCTTAAATTCCAGCCTCAAAGTCCTTCATTTCACCACGCCTATTGTCAACACCTTCAGATACGTGACATTGTTGCCCACATTATGTGCTTTTACTAAATTCCTAAGCTAAGATGAACCCAGTCCTGGCGTCTACTTCTCTCCCTCTACTGATCACCACTGAAGAAAAACTACACAGTCATGCACATTGATACTATTACAATATATGATTTTTCCCCTCAACTGGGCTTTTAACCCCACAGCAATCCTTTTATATATCTCTAATCAGTGCTGACTCTATTTCCCCACAATAGCTATACTAAATCTTCATCAGTTTGTTTGAAGGCACTATTAATTTTCCCAATGCAAAAAATAAAATCCATCACACATGAGCTACTTTAACGTTCCATTGCACTATCTGTAAATGCCCATGTCTGCCTCTCTACCAAATACTTACACCTGTATCCATAGCTGTGCTCCTCTTTACCCTATTCCTCCTATCCCAGAAAAATAAGTGCTTCTAAACAAAGCTAACAAATCTGTCCTATCTTCTCCAAAGAGCTGTCATTAATTTTACCTTTTTGATCCTTATCCACTTTCTTCATTGCTCCTTTTTTCTTAATATTTTCATGACTATCCCATATTTTTTAAAATGCTCACCTAATTTGCATTTCTCCCTAAAACAATCCCTCCTCATTCCCTTACCTTTTATTGGAACTCATAAAATGAGGATTTAAGCTATTTTTTTACATCTTCCATTCATTCTTTAACTCTCTACATTCTGCCTTACTACTCCCATTACTGCTCAATCTTTTTACTCAAGCTGACACTGCTAACATCAGCAATGACCTCCTCATTTACAAATCCAGGGAATGCTTCTCATTACCTATCCCATTTAACTCTGGCACTGACATCTTCTGCTTTTGTGCACTCTTCCTTTGGGCTCTGTCATAGCATTCTCCCTGGTTTTCCTTTCATTTGGCTGCCCCTTTCCTAGAGTTGTGGACATGAGCTTTGTAGTCAGACTATTTCCACCATTTACTATGTGACCTCTCTGACCATAGCTCCCTCCCCACATAAAAGGGAGATGATAGGGGCGCCTGGGTGGCGCAGTCGGTTGAGCGTCCGACTTCAGCCAGGTCACGATCTCGCGGTCCGTGAGTTTGAGCCCCGCGTCAGGCTCTGGGCTGATGGCTCAGAGCCTGGAGCCTGTTTCCGATTCTGTGTCTCCCTCTCTCTCTGCCCCTCCCCCGTTCATGCTCTGTCTCTCTCTGTCCCAAAAATAAATAAACGTTGAAAAAAAAATTTTTTTAAAAAAAAGGGAGATGATAATAATATATACTTCTTTAGGTGGCCATGAGAATTAAATGACAAATGTGTTATAAATACTTAACGCGATGTCTGAGGAATAGTAATGTGGTACAGTGATTGGTAGGCAATGTGGTGTTGATCCATACTTTGTATAGTTGTTATTGATATTAATACTATTGTTATTGTAACTACTCTTTATGTCAAAATTTTTCCAAATGAACCCTTTTTTATGTTTGTTAAAATAAACATTTCTCGGCTTTACCTTAAACCTAACAAATTGGACTCTTTGGAATAGATCCCAGTAATATGTATTTTAAGAAGGTCCTTGGGTGGCTTTTCTGCTTATTAAAGTTGGAGATCCACTGTCTTATTTCCTTCTGTTAGTGGGGACCTTGGTATCAGACAGACCGGAGATCAAGTTTAAGGATAAAAACTTGAGTAAATTACTTCCTTCTTAACTTTAGTTTTCATGACTATAAATGTAGCTTAGTACCAGCAACTACATAGACTTGTTGAGAAGAGAAAACCTGATAGTGTGTATAAATTGTCTAGCACACTACTCTTTTTTTTTTTTAATTTTTTTTCAACGTTTTTTATTTATTTTTGGGACAGAGAGAGACAGAGCATGAACGGGGGAGGGGCAGAGAGAGAGGGAGACACAGCATCGGAAACAGGCTCCAGGCTCCGAGCCATCAGCCCAGAGCCTGACGCGGGGCTCGAACTCACGGACCGCGAGATCGTGACCTGGCTGAAGTCGGACGCTTAACCGACTGCGCCACCCAGGCGCCCCTAGCACACTACTCTTTATATGACCACTCAACAAATATTTATACTATACCCCATTTTCATCTTCTGTCAAAAGGTGAAAATAGCATGAATGTGATATAAAGAATAAATCCTCTCCCACCCTGTGTACCTACCCCCCAGGATGTATCTGTGTAAGTCTCTAATGATAGAGTTTTAGTTGCCTTATTTACTGGGAAGTCCAGTAAGTGTGACAGTAAATTAGAAGGCAATAGAGCAGAGAAAAAGTGTAAGTATGGCAGTAACTTAGAGCCAATAGACCAGGAAAAATGGAATGAAGTTAGAGTGTCAGGTATTATGAAATAAATTTAAAGTAAACCAGGCGTTGTGGCAGGTAGGTCCCATCCAACAATGAATATTGTTCATGTGTCAAAATCTCCAGCACAATCAGCATTATGTTTGCTAACATAGGAAATCCAAAGAGTTCTAGATTTGACCTCTCCCACAAGGACCTAATTAATATCTAATTGGCTTAGAAGACTAAAACACATGAAAAATAAGATGCAAATGTAAGCCATATTTTTCTATTGAATTAACATATAATCAGCACTTATATATATAAAGTCATACTATTTTCTAGAGGTGATTCAGTTGCTTAACCATATTACAAACAAGTAGTCAAGAATGATAATCTGTATAGATAATATAATATTGATAACATAGATAATATAAGTGGGTTAATATGGAAACAGCCCCTCTCTAGTTTCCATATTAGAATTTCTGTAGTACAACCCTTTTTTAAGTTTATTTATTTATTTTTGAGAGAGAGAGAGAGAAAGTGCAAGTGGAGGAGGGGAAGAGGGAGAGAGGGAGAGAGAGAATCCCAAGCAGGCCCCACACTGCCAGTGCAGAGCCTGACACAGGGCTCAATCCCACAAACCATGAGATCATGACCTGAGCAAAATCAAGAGTTGGATGCTTAACCAGCTGAGCCACCTAGGCACACCTGTAGTACCACACTTTTAAATTCTCTTCCAGTTTAATTGTTCTGGGTTTGGGGGGGAAGTCTTTGTATGACTAAGTATGAAATTAAGTGTATTAATTTCTCCTTTCAGTTGTGAAAGAGAAGAAACATTGCTGAAATAATCATGGACTGCTCCATGGAAAAATCAGGAACTGAGCTGGGACCTGAAATAAGGCTTGGAAAGCTGAAAAAGAAGACAGGACTGCACTCAGGCCAAGGAAACATCAGCAAAGGGAGGGGGTTAAGAATGAATATGGTATGTCCATGGAATAATAAGAAGGCCAGTAGGACTTCAACAGTTCCCTAAAGTCATGTTACATGGAGAGAATGTGAGTGGATATGGAGAGACTCAGAAGCCTGACAAGGAATGTAGATTTGCTTCTATGGAAATAGGGTCACTTTAAAAAATGAAGACGAAACAATGAATAATATTATTCTGTTAGTCATGTCCATTGACTCCACAACTGGCCACTTGCAGTTAACACAGTCAAAGCCAAATGCTAGGCATTGCAGGAAATAAAATTGAATAAGACATAGTACACTGCTCTCAATGCCACTGAAAAATTAGGACATAAGATAATGACAAAAACAATTATAATCACAGCAGAATATAAATGCTACCAGAGAGACACATGATATTACTATGAGAGGAAGTAGGCAGCTTATGAATAGCAGTAACTCATGATATTTGAATGGGACCTTGAAGGATAGGTGTTATGTAGGTAAAGATAAGAATAGAGAATTTCTGGGAGGAAAATAGTTCTTCTGGGAGAAGAAGCTGCTCATTTCAACAAGCATCGCCTGCCCACTGTGTTCCAGGTCCTGGATTGATACTGGGGTATAAAGTAGCATCATAACCTCTGCTCTTAATTGCATAACACAGACGAGCAGAGCACTTGTTCTCAGGGACATTTGGGGAGTTCCATTCATGCAAAGCCTTTATATATGAGGAAGTAATGGAATGAAACTGGGAAGGAAGACAAATTGAACCAATATATTAATGAAAGTCTTAAATGCCAGGTTATGGTTGCATTGGAAATCTGTTGCTATAGTTTTTACCAGGGGAGGGGAATTATGAGAATTATATTTTGGGCAGTGTAAGCTGGGAGGAATGCATAGAATAGATTTTAAAGGAAGAGATTTTAAAACCAGGAGGCTATTATTACACTAATAAAGTATGGAGTGATAATAGCCTGGGATAGCTGGTGACAGCAGAGTATACCAAGAATATGTTAATGTTCTAGTCATTCGCTAAGAGTTTCCCTGAATAATCTCACAAAATCCCTGTTACAGGTGCTTTTATTACTTCCTAGTGACAGATGAGTAAACTGAGCACAAAGACATTACAGAACATGCCCATGTTCCACAAATTCAAAATGATGAAGCATAGGCCATCTCCAGAAATTGCACTTTTTAACCACTGGCTATGGAGTCAAAAACACATCTAAATTTTGAACTTGCACATCTAAGTAAAAAATAGCTCAATTAACAAATACAAGGAGGTTTTAAATACTTTTTTCACTGAAAAACTTTACCAGCTTAAAAAAAAGTTGTATCATCCCTCTCCTAAATCAGACTCACTGAAAGCTTTAGTGGTTTTCAAATTCAATAATAGAATTTTAATAGCAGAATATATCTCAGAGAGTATTTACTCCAACCTCACAACTTTACAGAAAAGGGAACTGAGACCAAGATTAAGGAAATTGCCC